CCATATCAAAGGGTGTTGTGGCGATCCAATGATAGAGTACATGTCAAATGCTCAGAACAGTTCTGATACTCAGTAAATACTATGATTACATTTGTAAAATGTTTTATGGTTCTTAAAATGTATCCCATTCACCTATATTTATTAAGAACCAGGATAAGGCACGGTGCTAAGTTCTGGGGATGCGAGAGTGAATAAATCATGTGTCCCTGCCATTCAGAAGGTCACAGATGAGTGGAAGGGAGAGGCACAAATCAATTGATGCATTCCGTGTACAGTGATATCTTAGACAGCAAGGCAATTAGAATTTAGCCCAAGGGCCTGTGTGTGTTAGAGAGGACCTCCTGAAGGAAAATCACTTTCCCAATGGCTATGATTAGGTGCCAAGGAGTCGATTCGGACTCATCATGACCCCATGTGAGAGACTAGAATGGCCCCGTAGGATTTTCTGGGCTATACTCTTTACAGAAGCAGATCACCAAGTTTTTCTCCTATGCAGCCCTTGGGTGGGTTTGACCATCAACCTTCAGTTAGCATCAGAGTGCTTAACAGTTTGTGCTACCAGGGCTACTTCCCTATACCTTAGCCTGTGAAAACGGTCCTGTTTCATCCATTTTAGAAATGAGTCACGCAAGGCTCGGCAAGGCTAATGGACTTCCTTGAGTCCACCAGGTAGTGAGTGGCGATGTCTCAATGATACACACATCCTCTGTGAATGAAGCCAGTACAATAATAGGCTGTTTTGCTTTTTTTTTTTTTCCCCCACTGTCTTTCTTGTTTAAAAGGGAACAAGAGCTGTAGTTCTTTCTGTCTCCCCTTTCCTCCCTGAAAACTTTGGCACAGTGCTAAGTTTTCCGAACTCCAGAGTGTGTTCAAAGTCATAGATGCATAATTTGGGTGGGACAACTGTGTACTATTAGAGATCTGGAGTAGAAGAGACATGCATAGCTTTGAATTCTAGTTTTACCACTGTCAAGCTCTATGACAATAGGCAAGCAGCCTCACCTTTTTGAGTCTCAGTTTTTCCATTCATAAAATGGAGCAGTAGTTTCTACCTTGAGATGGATGATAACCTGTCAGGTTATTACAGGTGCCTGGCACACGTTATATGTGCCCAATAAACATTAATTATTGACTTTATCAAGAAGGAACCAGGATATGTTTCAGTCTACCCACTTTACCCCTGTGGCCTGAGCACATAAACAATTCACCTATGTCATTGTCATTTTTTTTTTTTTTGTAATACCTTTAGTAAGATACAGTTCATACACCATGTAAAGTATAAAATTCAATGATTTTCAATATATTCACAAATACATACAACCTCAGTTCATTTTAAAACATTTATTATTATTTCAAAGAGGACCCCGATACCTTTTTAGGGTCAGTAGATAAAAAGCTCAATGTTCCTTCCCCAAACTGTCTAATCCTGGGAAGTTCATTTTCCTCTTTGGAATTCTTTGTTTCCATTTTATTCCTTGACTTTAAACAGGATTCCTTCATTTCCCGAGATTGCCATGAAGAGAATGCAAGTATCGGGTCATAATATTGTGTGTGCAGTGCTTGATATTTTCAAAGCACATTCACATGCTTGCTTTGTTGATCCTACAACAGTGCAGCAGGCAGGGTGGGCAGGCATTATCCCCTCTGTAAGGATAAGGACACTGAAGCATAAAGGAAAGAATACCAACAACCTCCATTGCCAAGCATTGATTGTGCCACAG